ATGGTGCTGCTGGTGGTGACGGGGATGCTTTGTTCTGGGAGAAAGTTTCCTGAATTGAATTTTAGAAGTTTAACTAAGAGTCTAGGGAGACGGCTAGTGAGTCACGGGATTGATGCATCCGTATGAGGGCCAGACTTTGGGTCTGTGGCATTCACAGGAAGAGCCAGGTGTGTCGGCTCACAGTTCTCGCAGCTCACTCCAGTGCTGGGGAGGCAGAGGCAGATGGATCCCTGGAACTTGCTGGCCAGCCAGCCTCGACAAATAAGTGAGCTCCAGGTTCACTGAAAGTCCTGGTCTCCGACAGCAAGATGGAGGGCTGGCAAGACAGCTTAGCGGATGAGGGCTACTTGGTGCCAAGATGGATGGTCTGAGTTCCATGGGACCCACAGGACAGAAGAGAGCTGACTCCCACAAGTTGTCCTCAGCCCTCACATATATGGTATGGCACCCATACATGTGTGTGTGAACAGAGACATACAATAAATAAATAAGTGTAAAAATAATTAAGGTAGTGAACAACTGAGTTAGACACCTTAATATCGACATCTAGACTCTACGTGCACCCACACACGCATGTGCACACCTAGGTGAGCACATACATCCCAGGAACACATACAAGAAGTTTAAATGAGAAGGTGTTCATGAAAGCACTGTGACAGGTGTCTTATCTCTTGCGGTGAATTCTAATTCTCCACACATGGCCAGGCTGCACACCAGCCCTCCGCCGTATAAGCCTGCTGGGTGCACGTGCTTGCCAGCAACAGAACCATCAGAATTGTTGTTTACGTGAACAACTTGAAAGGTACCGCTGTCTCTTCAGTGGAATCCATGCCTTTAAAACATCTCCCAGAGAGAAAGAGAAGAGCAGGTGACGTGGGGGCCCCTTCTTGACTACTGGCATCAGTACCTAAGAAGAGCTGACCTAGCAGGGCCTGGCCCAGCAGTGACTGCCAGAGAGCAGGGGGTGGAGGTGAGGTGGGGGGCTCCTGAGAGATACACAGGCGAAAGTCAACCTCTTCCTCCACCCCAGGTAGCTCAGGAAGCCCAGCCCTTTCTTCTGGGCTGGCTCTAGACTGAACTGCTTTGTATTGTTGGAAGTGAATGCGTCTCCTCATGAGATCAAGGGAATTAATAAACTCAGGTTGTTTCAGTCTCAGGAATAAACTAGAGGACATTAACGCTCCCATGCCTTAGTTTCCTGGTGAGAAAGTTAAAACATTAAGGTACATGACTTCCCAGGCATGTGGGGGCAGGTGTTAAAAATATAAAGGATTTTCACCTTTCTGCGGGATATGCATATGTAAAATATTAGGTGGTTTTTTTTCTTTTTAAGATTTATGAAAACATAATGTTGGCTGCGCTAGAGATTGATAAGCAGAGTTATCACTCGATCTTTACGAAGGTGCAGCGGCCAAGTGTGTTTGATGCCAGGAACCGTAAGAATCCTGCTTCCCCGTCTCAGTACTTAGTTCTGAGCTAAGAAATGCCTCAGGCGAGATAAGAGGCTTACAGTTTGTTGTGCAGGAAGCTTCCTGGCTGGCAGTTTGCTTCCTTTCTGTTTTTATGAATGGCAGTGGTATTATTATGATTTGGTCTGCGTCTTTAGACCAAAGCCATTCATAAAAAAAATAAAATAAAAAAATAAAAACAAAACAAACAACAACAACAAAAAAACTTTTGGGGCACAGTCTGGAGCCATCGGGTGCCAGAGGCTGGGAAAACATCCCGGCAGCCTTAACCACAACCAGCATTGAAAGCATTCAAGGGTCTGTTTGTTTGGTGGCCTGAGAAGGATGAAGTGTAGCTGTGAGAAGTTCTGTGACATGAACTAGGCCGGGAGCCAAGGCTGGCAGAGGTTCAGACACTGTCTCTCCCCTCACTGAAGTGTCAGGACCTAATTCATGGAAAATTGGGCGAGCTGGCAGCCCTCTCAGAGAGTTTCATTGAGACGCACTGTGCGGGACTCGCATGAATGGAGCTCCCCAGCCAGAAAAAGGAGGGGGCTGACGAGCAGTAGGAGCCAGACAGCCTGCAGGAATGTGTGTGGATTTGAAACGGTTTGGGAGTTAAAGTGTACAGGTGTAAGTGGCAGGGGAAAAGAGAAAAAAGCAAGGCGGTTTCTTCTTAAAAGTGACTTTCGGAAATGAATACTCTCTCAGCACACACTTTGGAATCCTAAGAGGCATGAAGCCCTGTGATTCCTGGGTTCAAGTCTGCCTGGAAAAAAAAAAATCATTTCAAAACCTGGGCTTTGATGATGGTGATGTTATCTCTACTGCTGTTCAAAGTCTTTTCAACCCCCCCCAAGTAAAAATATCCTTTCCTCCCTTTTTTAAAAGTCTTTAATTTCTTTAAAAAAAAATCCATCTGTAAAAAAAAAAATACTCTGCTAACTTTACATAATATTTTCAATATCCAAGAAAACATCATTCCATTACAGACATTCTATATTCTGGATGAAGGGAGTCTAATTCATCTCTTATGTTTCTGAAGGGCTGTAGCAATTTCATTTCCTTCGCTTGAATCTCTGAATCAAGGTGGCTTAGTTATATTTGCAAACTTCAGGAATGTGTAAATGGAATTAATAGGGCTTATAATAAGACATAAACATGTTCTCAGGAAGCAATCTATTGAAGGGCCGGGGCTTCCAATACACATTTTGTACTGCTGAAGAGTAACAATCATTTCTGGAACTTCGTTGAAAAATTAATTTAGGCTGCAGGAAGATCTCACTCAGAAGTTTCATTCAGAAAAGAAGAGAGGAGCCCTGTTCTACCGGGACAATGAAATGCACAGGTGGAGATAGGAAAATAAATCTTCATAAGACACCATCACAGAAGTGAATAGACTGAGCTGGGCATGGTGGCATGTGACTTTTAATCCCAGCACTCAGGAGTCAGAGGCAGGTGGATCTCTGTGAGTTCGAGGCCAGCCTAGTCTACAAATAGAGTTCCAGGGCAGCCAGGGCTACACAGAGAAACCCTGTCTCAAAAAACAAATGAACAAACCAAGTGGATGGATCCATAGAACAGGGGACAATGTTCATAACTGTGGATCTGATGAAGGATTATACCCAGAGCATGAAAGAACCTTGGGTCCTGTCTTAGCTAGGGGTTTCTATTGTTGTGATGAGACCGACATGGCCAAAAGCAAGTTGGGGAGGAAAGGCTTTATTTCCCGTACACTTCCACATCACAGTCCATCACTGCAGGAAGTCAGGACAGGAGCTTAAATGGGGCAAGACTCTGGGGCAGGAACTGATGCAGAGGCCATGGAGGAGTGCTTACTGGCTTGCTCATTATGGATTGCTCGGCCTGCTTTCTTACAGAATCCAGAGCCACCAGCCCAGGGATGACCCCACCTTATAGGCTTGACTTTAGGGAGACCTCCCCCTGCCCCAAGGTCTCCTCCTCTTAAATGACTGTATCCTGTGTCAAGTTGACATAAAACTAGCCAGCACAGGTCTCAGTGCTGAAAGAAAAATGAATAACATTTTTTTTTTAATGAGCAAAGCAGTAGAATACACATTTCTTTACAGAAGCTAAGTGGATGACTAGTAAGCACATGAAAAATGTTTCCTGTAATTAGGGAATAGAGAATTTCAATAGGAGCAATGGCATTTAGCTTTCCACCCAGTTGGAAGTCTAGAATAAAAATGACAGACAGTAACAAGTGCTGGGACATATGTGGAAAAATTAGAACTCTCCTTCATCCCTGGCGGGTCTGTAAGATAGCGTAACTGCTTTGGAAACCCATCTAGAAGCTGCTCAATTTAGGGCGGCTGGCAGAGGGTTGGGGAGGCTTGTCATTATCACTCAGCAATACCACTCCTACGTCATCCACAGTGGATGAAAGCATAACCATGCTGCAGTGTGTTTATGAATGCTCATAGGAGCCGCTCATAATAGCCAATAGATGAAGAAAGCCGGAATAGACACCAACTCATGAACATCCAGATAGGTAAAATGTGGTTGGTATACATTGGGCATACAAAGCAATTAACTGTCGATACTATAGTAGCCATTTTCTCAGTTCTGTTACAAAAGACCCAACAAAGGCAACTTAAGGGTAGCCTTGGACTTGCAGTTGCAGCCGGTGCAGAAGCCTGAGGCAGGTGGTCACTTTACTTTCTCTCTTTGGGGGCGGAGAGATGAGTGTGGCTGCTCAACTTCTTCCTCCTTTTCATTCAGCCTGGGACCCCGACAATGGGATGGTGCTGCCCCTTTCAGGGTGGGTCCTCTCTCTTCCGTTAAACATTTCTTGGAAACTCATTTGCAGACACACCCAGGCAGGGGTGTATTCCCATGGTTATTGTCAATGCAATTAAGATTAGCCATCTAAGATATTACTGTATGAATTACCCTCCTCACTTGGAAATTAAATTCGTCAATGAGAGGGGGCAGACACATGAGAAGACCTGAGGCATGATTCTTCCACTATGAAATGTCTGGAACAAGCCAATTAATGTAACAGAGGGTAAGTTGATGGTAAATTCAGCTCAGGAGGTTGCCGAGGGAGGTGGAAAGCCATGGGGAGCGGTCACAATGAGATACAAAGTTTCTTGTATGGACAATGAAAATGTTCTAAAATTAGGTTGTGGTGCTAATCATGCACCTGTTGAATAAAGATTCCTCTGAATTAGCCACTTTAAAGGAGTGAATTGGGTGGTTTGTAAGTTTTATCTTGGTAAAGAATTAGAAAAAAATGTTAGGATGTTGGGGTTTTCCCCTCTTCAAGTTTGATGACATGCAGACTGAAAACTGAGTTATTCTTATAGCAAATTTATTTCAATATGAGTACTAAAGAACGTGTATTCTTTCCCTCACAAGTGGAGATTATGAATAAACACTCTTTAACGTAGATAAACTTTTTGAATGTTGAATTTTCCCCTTTGCTTTGCAGATCCACACCCACACTTAAAGCATGAATACTTGGCTTTTTTTTCCCTCTGTATGTTTCCTTTTAAAATGTAACATTTCTTTTGTTTCTTTCTTCCTTAGCCACAACAAGTCGTTCAGAAGAAGCCTGCTCAGGTAAGGCATGATCCCTTACAATTTTTTTTTCTCCCCAAAGAACGCAAGTAAAATATGTACCAAAAAAGGTTTCCATGCCTTCAATTAGCATTTTCTCCTTTTGATGATGTCAGCATCCAAATAGTCTTGAACATTTGTTATATCCTTCCAAGTCAGGAATATACATAGTCTGAGATTATTTATTAAGAAACCCAAACAGGGCCAGTGAGATGATTCAGCCGGTGAAGGCGCTTGCTGCCAAACCTAATGACCTGAGTTCAAGCCCCGGAGTCCACATGTTGGAAGGAGAAAGACAATTGTGGTAATTTTTTTCTGTGACCTCCACTCACACATCATGATTTCGTGTGTGTGTTGTGTGTGTGTGTGTGTGAAAACAGAAACAAAACATCAAAGGCCTTAGTCTAAAAGAAACACAAGTAACATGCAAAAAAAAAAACTATATCAGGGCTGTAAATAAGAATTTAATTTTATTATGTTTTATCAATTCTTTTTTGTTTGTTTGTTTTGTTTTTTGTTTGACACAAGGTCTTTTTACATAGTCCTGGCTGTCCTAGAACTCACTGTGTTGACCAGGCTGGCCTCGAACTCACAGAGATCCACCTGCCTTTTCCTCCCAAGTGCTGGGATGAAAGGCGTGCGCCACGGTGCCTGGCTTGTTTTACCAATTCTTTTTTTAAAAAAGATGTATTTTTTTTATTATGCATACAGTATTCGTCCTGCATGTATGCCTGCAGGCCAGAAGAGGGCGCCAGATCTCATTACAGATGGTTGTGAGCCACCATGTGGTAGCTGGGAATTGAATTTAGGACCTTTGGAAGAGCAGCCAGTGCTCTGAACCGCTGAGCCATCTCTCCAGCCCATTTTATCAATCTTAAACACTAAATTTTGTCTTTTCCTCCTGACTGTCCACAGTTCTTTGACTTGCCATAGGACTTACTAGTTGTAAATTACTCTTGATGTATGGCTGAAAACAGCAGACCATTGAATTGTTCTGTAGTATTTGATATCCTAAAACACCTACAGTGAGACTGACCAACTGGAAATTATGCCAGTGTGTCACATTCCCGAACTCTCAGGTCTCACTTAAAAATAACTCGGCAATAGTAAATTAAAATTATCCTCACTTCTTTCAGTCCATAAGCCTGGAGTTTCTTGTCCAAGCTACAGTGTATGCATAGAAGCATGGAATTTGTATTCGTGGAAGAAATATATCTCGAAGAAAGTATTACTGACATATAAATTAATCATCATTTCCAAGACTGTAAACTAAGAAAATATAAGAATATATTCTGGAGCGTAACTCCATGGTGGAGATTGCCTAGCATTCATGAGGACCTGTGTTCAGTTCTCAGCACGAAAAGCAGGGAGAAAAAAGAGGTCCTGCTATTTTCTCCCCATGTGGACATGCAGGTAGAACCTAGTAAAGCAAGTCAGTAAGTAGTGTCATAAGTAGTGTCCTGAGTCATGAAGTTCTTTGTAGACCTCTTTCCTGTAATTAAAAATAGCTGTAGAAATGTTGGTTTCTCTAGAGAGCTTTCTCCTAAAACTACATCGCTTTGCTTAGAAAAATACCATGCAGGCAGCCTTAACATAGGTACACCTCTCTAGAAATACTGCTTGGGATAAGACTAAGGTTTTTGCCAAGCAGTGGTGGCATACAGCTTTGATCCCACCAATTTGGAGGCAGAGGCAGGTAGATCTCTGAGTTCAAGGCCAACCTGGTCTATAGAGTGAGTTCCAGGACAGCCAGGGCTACATAGAAAAACAAACAAGCAAAAAAAAAAAAAAAATTCTAAAATTTTCAAATGCATATAAAGATACAGGCGAAGTGAATGAAAATAATTACATGTAATGTATTATGAGTTTGATAAATCCTAAGCTGTACTAGGACAACAATGAAAATCATTCGCTGTGTTGTTCCCAGCCTGGCATGGGCAGTACTAAAAATGTTCAGTGTTCTTAAGCAATATTTAATTAAACGAAATGTAAACAAACACTCAATATGCTCTGATAGCCTTTCATCCTTCACTGGGAAGAAAAATCAAGAGAAAGTAAATGAACAGTGCTGTGTATTTTAGTCAGAGGCGACTTTGAGGCTCAGCATTGCATCATGGTCTACAGATTAATAACCTTATGTGGTTTGATAGCATTGATTCCAATTCTCCTCTCGGTGTCATAGGGAAGACACACTGAACAAAAAGTAACTCGTCAGAGAATTGTGGGATGCAGGGGGCTGGAGGGATGGCTCGGAGGTTGGGAGGCTCTGGCTGTTCTTCCAGAGGTCCTGAGTTTGCTTCCCAGCACCCACATGGTGGCTCACAACCATTTGTAATGAGATCTGGCGCCCTCTTTTGGCCTGCAGAGATACATGCAAACAGAACACTGTATACATAATAAATAAATCTTGAGAGAGAGAGAGAGAGAGAGAGAGAGAGAGAGAGAGAGAGAGAGAGAGAAAAGAATTGTGGGGTGCAGAGGTTCCTATTGCAGCTGTGCTTAGAGAAGATTCATATGCATATAATACAAAGCGCCTAAACTCTGAGCTGGATGTGAACATCTCTTTCAAATCCTGTGTTCCCTCAAAGTCCACTATGTGTGAGTCTTTACACCATGGGAATATTGGCATAAGCCTCCTATCCAGACCATTGTTTTCCTAGACAGCAAGTTGCTAAACACTTACCTACAACCGCTAGCCCCATATGTCATCCATTCTGCTTGCTTGGCTGGAAGACCTTTGCCTAAGTACTTTCTATGAACTCTCCACGTTAGCCTAATGGGCAGCCAAGAACGAGCATGCTCGATGAAAAAAGAAAAAAAAAAAAAACATGGCAAGATGTTTGAACATTTGTTTAATGAGCAAATGGCCACAAAATGTCAGTGTGTATGTGATCCGTAAGGGATACAGACGAATGGGTAGAAAGTCATGGGTTATTAAGGGGATGGATTCCCTAAGAGCTGAACTTCATGGGTTTCTTTGATTTTGTTGTGGCCTATCTAGGCACAGAAGGGAAAGTGGAGACGTAGAAGGAGATGCTGTAGGTGAAATAAATGGCTTGTAGGCTAGTAGAAAGGCACAAACATATGCATCATAGACATATGCATCATAGGTAGAAATCATTAACGGCTCTGCAAATGATTGTAAATTGGGCTTTAAAACACCAAGGACAATATAAGTGAAATCACACACACACACACACACACACACACACACACACACACACACACACCCAGGGGAATCAGAAATCTGAAAGAAGCCACAAGAGAAGCAATGGCCGTCCCCTGATCTGTCTGGCTGTTTTACAGACCTTGTTCCAAATTTTCCCTTTAAAGGAAAAACACTCAGATGGAATTAGGAGGGAAGAGAACATGGCTCGTTGGACTGCCTAATTTACATTGTCTCGAGGCACAGTGATGAATTATGTAAACACGGGCATTACGTGGAAGTTCACGGAGGATAATGTAAATTTTACAGAACAGTCGAAGACTCCCTTCCATCTGTTTCTTTCACAATTCCGCCCCAGAGGGCTTGTCCCCCAGCAGTCTGGATTGACTCGGACTCATACATAGCCTTTCTTCATCACTCAGGGCTACGTTCAGGTCCTGCTCTGAGATGGTGGCAATCAGCCAGATTAAGTATGTCGCGTGTAAAGCAAAGAGACTGCCATGCATATGACTACAGTGCTTCCTTCTGGCCATCCCTGGACTTTGTCCTGTGTGTCCATCTAGGAAATGTGGCCCGATAACAACGACTCTTCCCTAATTCTCAAGAAAAGTGTGAGAAGTTCATAATATCAGGGAACTAGCTTACTTTGTTCTAGCTTACTTTGGCTGCTAAGTTTTTCATATTTCAAGATTTAAATTTTCAAAAAAAATTCAGAGGTTTTTATTCATTCAAAATGGTCCCCTTTCCCCCTAATGCTTCCATTACATGTTTTTAAAATGATTTTTTTTAATTGGGGGAAATTGTATGGCAATTGCTAAATCCTACCCTTAAGATGAAGACCACCAGGATCACCTCCATTATATATATATATATATATATATATATATATATATATATATATGTCACAAGAATGCTGAGTTACAGAGGCTCTGTGGTAAAGAATGCTCGCACTCCCTGGGATAAAAAGCATCAAAAGGTCACTCTGAGGGGGCAAATCCAGCATAATGCTGTCTCAGCATATGTGTTTGTATTTATAAGCATGTGTGTTTATAAAAGGTAAGGCAAGCTCTGCAAGGGAGGGATTGAGTTTGGAAAGTGCACCAGGTTCCATGAATCGCAAACTGCAAGTCTTTCCCATAATTCTTATGGGCAGGAACTCATCCCCTCCAGTCTAACCGGGAAGATGTCTGCTGTGTTCACATTGACTCTCTTTAAATTCCCAAACTGCAGAAAACAAGGCTTACTAGAAATGTTACTTTGTATTTTAAAGTAATAAAGTAAGCCGTAGATAGATAGATAGAAACTAGCTAATTAGAAATTAGCCAATTCTTCAGCAAACTGAGGTAAATCCTCAACCACATATGTTAAAAAGTTAGTTTTAGAAGGAATGGTAGACTTTTCTTTCAAGTTATTAATATCGAATGAAGGAACTTTTTTTTTCTTGAGTTTCTGTCTTTAACCCTACCTTCTGAAAAGGTTCCACTAGCTTCTCTATGTGATAGTTTCTCAAAGTTCCCATTTTAACATGTCTAGTGGCAATTAGGCGTGGTCCCTTATATATAATTCAGACATTTTGCTCTAAGGGAAAACAAGCTTTTGTTTGTTTGTTTTTGTTTAATTTTTACAACATTCCATCATTCAGCGCACACTGTCCATTTATAAGCTTTCCATGAGCTGTTAAAGCAGGAAAAAAAAATTTTCCTTTTGAATTGAAAACCAGTCGTTTTCTTAAAGAGCAGAAACAAAGCATTCCACAGCAAAATAGCTTTCTTACCTGCAAATATCTTCTGTGTGAGGTGTGCCCCTGGGCAACAGAATCTCCAAAAACCTGTTCTCA